CTCTATTCTTCTATTTGTCTCGAACCACCTTGTTACTTTCACGGCGTCGCATATCGTGATCGTCATGCTTCATGACCTGTTTAACATCATCCCACCGTTCGTCCTTCGGCGGTTCAAGCTCCCAAACCAACCGCTTTCGAGCGTGACACTCCCGTATCAAGCCGCCGCACTACTAGTCGGGACCACCTGCCTCATCGTGGCGGGCGTCTTCCACACGATGTTCATTTTCTCGCGGAGCGGCACGCTTGTGGTCCACGAGGGCTCGGTAGAAATCCCCGCCGCGACAATCCAAGCCGTGCTCGACAGGCTGGGGATTTCGATGCGGTATCGTGAGGTGCAATACAGTCAGTACATTTTACTTCCTGGAGAATTGTGCGCGACTAACTAGTGCGCGGCACAGTCCGGATATCAGCGGAGCTCCCGTGGCCGGCGGCGTTCTTTGCGCTCGGGGCGATTATCATGACGTTTGCTGCGTGGTATCAATTCCGCCATGCGCCGCCTCCGAGTCTCGATGATAGTAGTTCGGGGAGCGTTGAGGTCGAGAAGTCTTCAACTGAACTTGGGGAGGATAGCAAGGGAGAGAAGGACGCGGTGACGGTCCTCGCCGTTTGAACGCTATAGCTATATACTGTACACGTACTGATCATCGTTCTGGATTTGGTTTTCGGACATGGAGGTAATCCTGGAGGGATTAAGGAGCATCTGCACAATCAAGTTGAACATGCAAGTTGATCCATGTTTTTTTTTGAAAAAAAAAAAGGATGAGGCGCACAAATATAATCTTTATCTTTTTCGAGAGGCAGGAACGATGCTGTCTAGGATAGGTACCCTCGGCGAAATGTGATGTTGGTATGGTGCGATGTGGTGTCGACTTGAAAGTGAGTCAAGTCGGCAATCATCATGGTGTGATCGCCACCGGCCAAACTTGAACGTTCTTTTCGCCCACCACCACCGCCTGTCCCTGAAGTCTCTAGACCCTGATTCTTCCCTGCTTCAAGCAATATGTAACGGAGCAAATGGTCTAGGAGATGATTCAAGCCTTGATTCGTGGCGAGCAAACCTAAATTTGTTGTTGCCCGGGCCCGCCCGCTCTCAGCCGAGTCAGTCGCAGATTTTTCAAGGGCACAGTTATCTCAATGGCACGACATTCTGCAGAGGGCCAAATCTCCACTGAACTCGCACTGTTCGTTTATCATTGGGTTCTTCTGTGAATTTCTAGGCTCGGAGGCTAGCAATTGCTCGTGCCACTCTGTGCCATTTTGAACGAAACGTCATATAACCTGCCTGGGAGTACGATTTATGTTAGCCCAGCGACATCCTCTGGCTTCAATAAATTCTACCGAAATTTCCCAGTTCTCTCAATTCTCCTTCGTTGCACGCCACCTTTCTGAACCTCTATGTCCCAAATCCGGCGACCCTCTCTTGAGGTGAGTACTCTTGGTTCACAATGTGAATTCAAACATTTATGCCTACGCGCTTTGTTTTCCGAGGTGTTTTTTCCAACCAGTGGCATCTTTCCTTGGGCGGTCTGCTTATCCGGTTTAAATTGCCCCTTTGCTCTGTCTCCCAAACATCCCATTTTTGTTTCTCGTGAAATTCGCGATATGCGACGACATGGCGGCCCTTCAGCCATTGCCTTCAAGACACGTGAAACATAGCTGCTGCCCATCCAAGAAAAGGTAAACTCGCGATTAAATTTCTATTAGCCCTATTGTCTTCTCCGACTTCAGGGAACTGGGCATGACCGACTCAACCTGGTGATCACGGTCGCCGCACGATATGCATTTTGGCTGGTCGATGTCTTGTGTAAGTTCATTTTATGACGAGGTTCGCCTAGATCTTTCAACTAATGATGACCAGCCTTGAATATATCATTTCTTTCGGCAGGAGCGCACTTGTCGACTCAGACTCTATCTAGCATTGGTGCGTTTAGATCTCGCATGAGAATTTGACTTATGGGTTAATGCGCACGTGGAATATTGGTGTTTTTCACCAAACCCACCCTCCCAACAAGATTAATGGTCGGACCCAGTTTCAACCGTAACTTGAAGCTCAATCGTGGTGAGAATCCATTTCAACAGTGACATAATTCCATTGGCGTCAATCCAGCAGTTAATTCTCAGGTAGATTTCTGGGAGATGTGCTCTTCTTCTTTTTCTACCTGAAGCAGTTCCGACTCGATCCCGACTCGTTTTTATTTTTGCGGCGGCCGGAACTTGAGAAACTCGGCAAGCTCCGATCATTCATCATGTTCTCATCGATACCAAGAACATGATGCCGTTCCTGCCGAAATGCACGCAAGGTAAAGAAAAGGGCTCCTAAAATGCGCTTTGACCTCTAGACTCCGCTTCGGTTTTCCCACCGTGTCCCACGCATCTCCGTATCTGCTTTTATCCACTTTCCACAGGAAAGGGCAAATTGGATCACCCCCGTTTGATGACGGTTGAAGCGTGCACCAAGCGGGAAGAGATAAGGAATGTGTAAAGATAAACATCTTTCCTCTGCTCTGGTTCCCTTGCCCCTATGGCTGAAGACGAGGAGGACTGGCAGGAGTACAAACTTGGCGGCTACCACCCTGTCTCAATAGGAGACTCCTTCTCAGACAATCGCTATGTCGTCGTCCGGAAACTCGGGTGGGGGCACTTCTCCACTGTCTGGTTGGCACGAGACGTCAAGTGCGTTTTTCCTCCGTTCCTAGCACCGTCGTGGATATTTATATGTGTAGAATGCAGAGACATGTTGCCCTCAAAATCGTTAAATCCGCTCCCCGTTACACCGAGACAGCGGTAGATGAGATAAAACTTCTCCAGCGTCTAGTGACTTCTTCCGATACCACCACACCAAATTCGCACCCCGGGAGATCTCATGTTATAGCCTTCCTCGACCACTTCAGACACAAAGGACCCAATGGGACGCATGTGTGCATGGTCTTTGAGGTCTTGGGCGAGAGTCTGCTAGGTTTAATCAAGAGGCACCAGGTACGTCGATGCGGGCTCCCCCAGGATGCTGATACCATTCCGTTTGTTTAGAGTAAAGGCGTGCCCATCCCCCTCGTAAAGCAGGTCGCTAAGCAGGTTTTAATGGGCCTCGACTACATGCATCGTTATTGCGACGTCATACACACTGGTGAGATGCTCCGCCAGCTGTATCTACCTATCGATTACCTGGCGTTCCACAGACCTAAAGCCAGAGAATGTCCTCATCTATATCCCGGACGTCGAGGCGGTCATCCAGTCCGAGTTGGCCATGCAACCCTCCCCCTCCGCCTCCCTATCCACCTCACCTCCCGCGCCACATCACATACCGCCGCATCAGCCGACGATGCATAAGCTTACCGGCGTGCCTGCGTCCACTGGCCGCGGAGGTAACTTGACCCCGGGGCCGCGGTACCACAATATCAACGTCAACATAACGGGGAGCAAGCCGCTCCCCAGTTCGAGTTCCAGCGGGAGCGTTGTTAGCCTCTCTGCGTTGAGCGGCGGCGGGAGAGCCAAGGCGACCGGCGATAAATGGGGGCTCGGGATGCTCAAAATATCCAACGACGATGCGGCGAAGGGTAAGGGAAAGGAGAAGAGCATGGAAGAGGAGGATCTCGGCATGGTCTCGTTGACGCTTTCTAAATCCGCGCCGGCGTCTACCACTCCGATGCGCATTCCTAGTCCGCCGCCTCCGCTGCGCACCCATGATTCTTCAGACCGTCCGGGCAGCCGTGGGGGCAACAGCGACAAGGTCGAGGGCGAGGAGGGGTGGGTGGAAGAGGTGGACCCCGAGGGCGACTATGAGATGATCACCGTGAAGATCGCGGATTTGGGGAATGGTTAGCTCTAGTCCCTGACTGATTCTTACGTCCCTCACCGATTCTCAGCGACGTGGACAAATCACCATTTCACAAACGACATTCAGACTCGGCAGTACCGCTGCCCCGAGGTCATCGTTGGCTCCACGACGTGGGGGACGAGTGCGGATATATGGAGTGTCGCCTGTGTGGTGCGTCCCTTGCTGAAATTTCGTTTCGAATGTCCCTTGATGTCTCGTGGCCCGCCAGTTATTCGAGCTGATAACCGGGGGAGACTATCTCTTCGACCCAGCTCCTGCGCCGAAAGGCGCCGGGGGGAAACCACGATATACGAAGGACGACGACCACATGGCCCAGATTATTGAGCTCCTTGGGCCTCTGCCAGACCATGTGCTGAAGTCAGGGCGATGGAGCGGAGAGTTTTTCGATCCGGGAGGTAAGTCGCTTCTCCTCGTCCGTCCTGCGCGAGCCGTCCGATTAACCTGCATCGCAGGTAAACTGCTGCATATCCAGAACCTGCGCCCGTGGCCTCTTCCGTCGGTCTTGCACGACAAGTACCTCTTTCCCCCGTCCGACGCGCACGCCATCGCGGATTTCTTGCTTCCTATGCTAGACTTAGATCCACAGGGGCGCATGGGCGCCGGCGAGCTGGTCCTGCATGAGTGGCTGGGCGATGTGCCTGATATAGAGCGCGAGTTTGAGGGCGGACACGAAGCGGACGCGATGAAGCCGGTGGACGATAGTCCCGGTGAGATACCTTGACCTCAACTTGCACCCGTTGGGTGAACGCCCTTCCATTCTTTCTCAGTGTCTGAGGGAGCAACCACGGTAAGTTAATGTATGCAGATAATGTAAATTATCATATTTGGATTCACTTCAGTTTCAATGGATGAGATTGATGAGAGGTGGAGGCGACCGTGCTAAAAAAAGTACGAGGGCTGTTGGTTGGATGTCCAAAGGATTGATCCTTGGACTGGATACAAAGGCATTGCGAAACTATAGTCCTACCTGAAGGTCCTCAGCAACCGTGCTGATGATGGTGAAGAAAACGAAAACACGAAGTAAAAATAAGAAAAAGAATTGGACGAACTGGGGATTGAACGTGCGAAATTACTCTCCTGAACTGAAAAGCAACGGCGTGGCATCCATCCTCTCACTGGAAAAGGAATAGAAACGAAGCAAAAATGAAAACAATAAAAGGAGCTGGACGCACAGGGGTTTGAACCCTGGACCGCATACAAGGAAGATTAGCAAACGAAAATGCCGCTCTGCAAAGCATGAGTGATACCACTACACCATACGCCCATGAAGGGCGGATTCGCCTGAGTGCTACTAGACGCTGATCGAGCTGTTTTCCTCGCAAACCCCCATAAAGCTCCTCCACCTCAGCTATACCATTCCAGTAATCAGCAGACCGCGAATAAGCTCAGCACCCGAGATGAACCCGTAGTGCGCACATGGACCCGGATTCAGAAGTTGGTTATTAGTCCTGGGGCATGGCCACCAAACGCAGGGCCTGCGCCTTATCGGTGTACAAGTCAGGCGCGTGGTTGGCGTTATGATTCAGGTCGACATCTTTGCAAACGTGCGTCGATTGAACGGACGCGATTACCTTGTGTATCCCGAATTTGATCATCCCGAAAATTTGATCAGCCTGTGTCCTTCTTTCCTCCTCTCATCCCGAACCACGATGAGCGACGACGCACACGAGAAAGTTCACGACAACGCCGCCGCCACAGAGACGAAAACTGGCCACGGCGATGACAGCAGTATCCAAGCACTGATAGAAAAGGCGCACGTGGAGGGCATCAAGCCAATTTTTCTGGCCAAGTACGTCGTGGCGATTCTGAAAACGTGGATTTACTTGACGTGTTCAGGGTCAAGGTCCTGAACGACGCCATTGCTGACTGCGGTATGGGGCGGTATGTTGTAGCAGCCTTTTGCCAATTTGCTGCTGACCTCTACCCCAGGTACCAGGTGGGTCCTTGTTGTTGCACGCGTCGGTGGAGCGTCCGTCAATAGAACCGGCGGGGATCGGACCTTAAACTATGCCGTTGGCGCGCCTTCGCGGACGCGCCGCATTACTCCCGCTCCCGCGTTTATGATTACTGCCGCTCCCGCGTTTACGATCTTGTGACTGATTCGAATGGTAGTGGGAGTTGTTCTTCAGTGCTGGTGCGCCTTTTTTTATTGCTTCTTGACGCGTTGCTAATTTCCAGTTCTTTAGGTTTCGGGTTCGTGCATGACTTTCAACCTTGGTTCAATTTCTTGACCAACCGTCCACATCTCCCAGCTGGTTCGCCGATAGTGAGCTGCCTTTACATTCTTGCTTCCCCATTGGTTATTGACGCGCCGTAAGATATTTGGCTGCAAGCTATAGCCATCTTGATGCCTGCCATTGCGAACCAAGTACTCAATTCAACTTCGATCAGTTCTTATCGCTTAACCGACATTTCTTGACCAGGTCAACTTTCCCAACTATTCGAGCAACATCCGCATGGCAACCTTTGCCCTCTACTGTGGTTTGATAGTCGGTGTAAATATCCGTTATTTTACCTCGACGATCAAGTTCTCACACGTCCTCGCACGTTCTAGGCAACCTTCTGGGGCATGACATGCGACGTGATTGGCAGACGCACAGCCTGGAACGCGACTCTGTTCTTGTCCGGAATTTTTGGAGTCGCGTGCGTGCATGGATTGTCCAGGTTGAACTGGTTCACTAATTCACGTGCTCGCGTTTTCACAGTGCCGGCGCCTCCCCGAATTTCATAACCCTCTGCGGTGGGTCTTATACAACATTTTTATCTGGTCCACTAAATGTCCTTTTAAGCTATGCTTGCATGCATCGGTGTGTTCGACCTCTTTGAAAGGAGGGATTCACTGCTAATTAAATCCAGGATTCGGTGTTGGTGGGAATCTTCCCGTCGATGGAGCCCTCTTCCTTGAGTTCCTCCCCGGAAAGAACCAGTATCTTCTTACCCTGCTCTCCCTTTGGTGGGCCGTGGGTCAGGTCGTCGGGTCCCTTATTTCCTGGGTATTCTTGGCCAAGTTAGTTCAACCGAAAGTGCAACTTGCGTTTTTGGAACTCACCAAATCTAGGTACTCATGTGACACGGACTTGGTCGGTAAGCTCGTCCTTGCTGACGGGAGCTTGTATCAATGCGATAACTCGAACAATAACGGTTGGCGCTGTACGTGCTCTTTTTCAATTTATCCGCGCTTGCGGCTTACGGCTTCTTAGACTCGTACTACACCATGGGCGCAATGATGTTGTTCCTGGCTATCCTGCGAGTCTTCGTCTTCCCCATGGACGAGTCCCCCAAGTTCCTCGTCAGTGAGTGGACCTTGTGTTGACGGAGTAGGTTTACTTCTTAACAATTCACTTCAGGCATTGGGCGCGACCAGGACGCCGTTGATGTCATCCACCGCATCGCCAAGAAGAACAAAACGACGACGAAGCTGACTGTACAGGACCTCTACGACGCTGCGACCCCGTACCTTGATCCTCAGGACGTCGCTCGAGGCCTTCTCCCCGTCACGCGCTTCAGCACCTGGGGCCTCATCCGCAACAGCCTGTGAGTTGTATCTGTAACGCGAAATTCACGAACCAACCCTTCGTTTCCAGAAATGATGTCAGCGGAGAGAACATCAAAGGACTGTTCTGTACTCCCCGCCTGGCTTATTCATCCAGCCTTATTATTTTCATTTGTGAGGCGCTCTCTGTTGATTTGTCGATGATGTACCAATGATCCTCGCTTCAGACGGTGCTCTCGGGCTTGCGTATCCCTTGTTCAATGCTTTTCTGTGGGCTTCCATTTTTTTTGCCAAGAATTCTGCACTAATCTGGTTGGGATGAAGGGGAAGCTATTTATCAGCCCGCGAAACGGATACCGGTGCAACTGGAATCGACGCGACATATTGCAGGTCGTCTATCCATCTGCTAAACTGCCAACTGACCTTATTTGTTCAGCGGCGTACACATACCAAGCCGCGTGCGGTGTCGGTGGATCCCTGCTCGCCGCTGTCATGGTGCAGTGTTCTCGCACTGGGCGGAAATACTCTATGGCGTCAGTCCGCACACCTTCATTTGTGCATTAAAAATGGCTGACGCGTATCTCTAGTTTTTTCACCATTATGTCCGGCGTCTTCCTCTTTGCCCTAACGTGAGACGGACTGTTTAATTGAAGCGCATTCGCTCATTGTACCCCATAGCGCGGCAAGGACGTCTGTGCAGGTAAACGCTTTGGTTTCAATCGCGAGCTTCTGGGAGAACGCATTCTACGGGGTATTTCATTTCGTTGCCGCCGGGACAGCAAATTGACCGGCGTTCTCACCAGGTGTTGTATGGATATGCACCAGAAGTCTTCCCGACTCCTCGTCGCGGCACGGGCGACGCTCTTGCTGCATCCGCGAGCCGGGTCACCGGCCTTTTCGCTCCAAGTCAGTGCAGTTCAGAGACCTAATTATCCGAAATTTAACGCGAGGGTTGCAGTCATTGCTGTCTACAGCAATGCCGGAAAGACTCCCAACGGGTAGGGTTGATCGACTCAAATGTGTTCGCCCATTGACTTGATTTGCGTCCAGTCCGGTCTACGCCAGCGCGGGCATCTTCATATTCACAGGACTCACCATGATGGGACTCCCCATTGAAACCGTCGGAGTCACTGCGTAACTATTTTCTTCCCCGGCACTACTCGTGTTTGCTAATGAATATTCAGTTTGTGATCTCGACGCGTCGCTTGTCCCTGTTTGGCTCAACCCAGGACGCGGACCGCTCACGTGATTAGTATCTTGTTTGAAGTTCAACCGTTTGAGGGCCGTCATCGGCCTCAGGCTGCCGGAGGCCGCTAACCGTTGAGTATTCCAGTATAATTTGTTAACCAAATGTTCTTGGCCAATAAATAATATCGTGCGGATGGTAAAAAACAAGAAGGATGGTTCAGCTTGATTCTCGGGCGTCCCGCTAGTTGAAACTCAGGCGAAATGGAACATGACAGCCAAGCGCAATGTCTTCAAACCCACTGAATATTCCTACCTTGAACACCATATCTCAACGAACAACGCGCTGTCTGCTTGTCATACATTTTCATAATCATGAACCTAGGTCTGAAACATCACGCCTTCCGGTAGACGGCAGCGTCTGGGTTGTTCATTGCCTCCTCTGTCTCTGCTTCCCTCAACAGAGAAGAATAAGAACTCCCAATAATGAGGCCAACTGATGCAATGGGAAGAAGAGTCAACGCAGGTATTTCGTCTCGCGAAGTCACGCACATATTTCGATGAAGCAAATCACCAAAAGAAGGGCCACGGAGACGCCTTTCAGCACAGGGGACCGCTCGCAAAGTTGTTTCCCGAATGAGTCGTGTACATTCGCGAGGCAGTTTTGAACGCTTTCGGCAGATTGATTCTTGAACAGGAGATAAAACACAGAAATCCCGGATCCGAGGCCGAACAAAAGTTGCACGAAAAGCATCGAGACAAAGGCCTGAGCTGCGTTTCGACGTTGAAGTAATGCGCTGTATAGCCTTGGAAGGAGATTAAAGTCGACATTGCATTAATATCATGGGCGAACATACCCGACCGCCGAAACGATGGCCATTAGGAGGTAAGCGAGAACATGGAAGTCCAGGGCTAGTCTTTCGGTGTCAGAAATTTGAGCATCTACAGATGAGTAGGTCATTCAAATCAAGGGTGGAATTCGACTCACTCAATTTATCGGCGGCGACCCATCCCATGATAGAAAGGGCTGCGCCAGAGAGAATCCCAATTGTGGCAATGGTTGCCAATCCCGAGCGTAAGGACATAGGGACACAAGTAAGAGGTTGAGACATGGAGGGAAGCTGTCGAGTCAGATACTCAATATCCGAGGTCGATGAACAAGGCCCGCCCGTTCAGAGGACCTGGATCGTCGCCGTCCTATTTATGCGGGGACACTCGCTGGTCGTGGGGTTGCCGTAAGTTGTAGCTGATAATGTAGTTCGGTCGCCCCAGATGGTTGCGTATCATGATGCGCTCACAACCGCGGCGCGGCCCGATCTAAGTTCGTTGACACATAACACCGAGCAGTGCTACTTAGGTTCAGGAATAGTTCTTAGCAATGTTCATCAAAGTTCGATGTAAAGCCTTCTGCATCACCAAATCCGTCAAAATATGGTAAGGCCAGGTGGGGATCGTGATTTCTCGGCAATAATGATGCTCAATCACAACCGCTCACAATCCCTCACAATCACCGCATAATCCTTGTGAGCGGTAAACAACTGGCATACAATTCTTGAAGCGGAGTGTAAGGCCTTGTATTATGTTCT